GGCTCAATTGCCAAATGGTTCACTAGCGTTGCATACGCACAGCGCGCTCATCTAAGAAGCTAAAACAGAGTCCAGTACTGCAGGATCATGTGCATTTTTATAAGAAAAAGTTGTGACCACTGCCCCATTTTGGTGCATTGACTTCGCTCATCCGAATGCAAGTTGAGCGGGCACAAAGTATTTGATTAAATCATAGGATGCCCCAATAAAATAACAAAGCTAGGTATAAGAAGTGAGTAGATCTTCAGCCAGTGTCTTTCAGTGATTTTTGCTTCTGGCGACGCCCGTCGCATAACGGACGAAAGTTTATTAGGGGCCCATCAGGATCGCAGGACAGCTGAGATCTTCATACATTCCGACAGGCACAAGTCAGGATCAATTCCCCTTCGACATCCGGGGAGACCTTCGTAGAAAGACGAAAGTCAGTCATCTGGCACACTTCGTCTGAGTAAAAGATTATGCCCACCAAAGTAAAAAGACAAAAAGGGGCTCACATGAGCCCAGTTTCCCTCAGAAGTAGTTGGCCTTTTCCTCAGCACGAAACGCTTTTTCCCGACTTGGTCTTGCTAGCACACTAACTCATTGCCTAAGTTCGTAATTCATAAATTCATTCCAATCATTCTTTTTGTCTAGGTCAATTCATACGAAACCTGAGGAGCCTTTTCCATGGGTAATTTTACCTCATCCAGAGAACCATTCTTCGGAGAAGTTCATATTCGACTCTTTGCTCTGCCTGACCGCACCAAATGAGTTCGCAGAGGGGAAGAACACTGAAAACGAAGACTCCCGTAAACCGAAAGACTATTTGACTACTATTAAGAAATTAGAAAACTGATTCATTTATATAATTATGATTCACAAGTCCATTTATTCTTATGTACATTTGGACACGATGTTTTTCTGATATTCCATTAAAATATTCCTTACTCAAATATACACCTGATGAAAAGTTAAAAATAGGGCGAACTAATTCTACCCCTGGATGCGGCCTTAATTTACTTTAAGGACGAATGTTAGATATTAAGAGGAATGCATTTCTAAAACAATAGACTACCGGTACAAAAAGCATGGCTACGGTCCTAGATCCGATGCTGGTATTGGGAAAGAGGGCGGAATAATCGACTAATATTGGAATAAAGACAGGGACATCTGGATGGTATGGAGGTCACTAATGAAGGATACCAGTGCGTTTATCATCTGATTTTACCTCACCCAATGAAGCAAACCGGAACGCGATACCACTAGACATAAATGGTTGACGTTCTTCCTTAATGTACAGCACCGAACTTATTAATATGCCATACACGCTTGAGGAAGGCATTGCTAGGGCTGGCCGAGGTCAACACGTTCTTGTACACACACGATACAAGGCAATATGGCACACCGATTGATGAACTAGACTAGAATCCCATAGCATTGCGCATGAGTGAAACCCAGTAACAAATGAGGAGTATTCCCAGATTAGGTCCATTGAGTCGGACGATTTATTCGGAAATCAAGTTTTCATATTAGAGTTGGGGCCACGGCGCCTGCCCATGGGCACAGCTACTACAGCGACAAATCTGCTAGTGTACTGCATACGCCTCTTAGCTCGCCCTCGGGGCTTTTTCTTCTTTTCTTGCTTTTCAACCTTCGGGGTTTGATTTCTAACTTTGCCAGCGCGAGCAAGCGACCCATGGACTTTGCCTATATAAAAACGTTTCATTAGTTACTGAGAGATAGAAAGCTCCAAATAAATATTGCTAGTAAAGGCTTACCTCCTAATAAGGGTACGACAACATCGATTGTGCTGCTCGGCGAGAGAGTATCTAGTCCGCAACAACTATCCAAAAGCTTTGTGCCATGATATAGCTGGATACTATCGAGAGGAAGGTTGTCCTTATCAGCCAGAAGGATCTTTAAGTCCGAAACTGACTGGTATTGGGACGTATCAACAAGGTGAGTATCATACGATCTAACAATAAGGTGCATTGCTAAGGGCTGCACGCAAGAGGAACTAGACACTGGAAAAGACCGCGTGCCTTAGGGGTATTTGACTAAATAACCCAAAATAATTTTTCAATGTTAATTTATTTAAAAATAATAATAATGATGTTATAAAATCTTAGATATATGTTTATTAATTGTTTTAGCCTTTGTAAAGGAGTTTAGCCTGAGCTTACTCGAAAGCCCGCTGAATGCACGACTAAATTGTCAGTTTACAAAGTATACTAAACACGGGCATGAGGCTCTTTGACATACTCATTAATGATCGAAGTACAGTCGTTGCATGATCTCAAAGTCATAATTGAAAAAATGAATAGTCCGAAGGCAATGTGAATAGTCATATTTTGCCATTTGGAAAAGTTAATATTAATCAGCCAACAACCTAAGTGTTTGTGGATTCTAGTAAATAATTTTGAGTAAGAAAATTGAGTCTCGCTGATTTAACTGCTATTCATCAGCATACCAATTTGCGAACGAAATGAGTCATTCCTAAGCTTTCGTTTTTCATGTAACCGATATCGTTATCCAATCTTTCAAAAAATTAGTTCATGCATAACTATCATCTGCAAAGCTACTTTTACAACATAGACTAATTAGGCAGCTGAGTATTTGTTTTAATACTTAAATCTATATGTTTAATATTAAATATATATGATGCCGATATAGATGTGTCCAAACATTCATTTCTTTTCTGAACTGAAATATAGATTCGCGGTTAGTTGTATAATTAGAGAGAGTTGCCCAGAATATTTTAGTTGGAGTGCTTTCTGCATCGTCTTGCTACCCTGTTGAATCCATGTTGAGCTATTGGTAATTATTAAGGGAATCTTCTAAACTACCATTTTATTAATGCATTAAAGGTGAGTCTGGTTATTATTGTTTGTGGGAAATCTTTATCCTACTTCTAGACGAAAAAAGGCTAAGCCGATTATGCATATGCTTTATCGGAACCTAGCTCATAAATTGGAAGCATCCGTAATTATTTTTACTATTGCTAGGCCACATTTTCCAGATGAAATTAAGAGAGATCATGTGATCATACCTTATGATTTACTGAACTTAAGGGCCAAATTGGGCCATGATCAGTTATATTATTTGATTAAAATTAAATTTAACACTAAGAATATTGCCTGAGTCTAGTATTTCTAAAGAAGTTCATTAATTACCAACATTGTTCTCTAAAATCTTTTAAGTTGGTAAGTATGAATGGGATAATTACTTAAAAATCAGTATAATTGAATTAGTTTGCGATGAGTCATTCTAACGTTATACTACAAAACAGTTCTTCGCACCTTAATAAACCTAATTTATTTCTAAACGATTTCTGATCTCGATCAGATGCCATCTAAGAAAATCTCTCATTATACATCATGAATAACAGCTTCCGGAAAATAATCTGACTAATCGGATTAACCCAATATATCAAGTAAAATCTTCGGACACAAAATAAAAATAAAATTCTCTGAAAATCTAGAGCTGAATCAGATACAAATGTCATGACTAAATAGACTTGGATAATGAATTTATCTTCTGAGTTTCGATTAATCTCCTGAGAGAACAATGGTAGAGCAAATTTCATTTCATATGAAAGTGCATGAAGAAAAGATTCGTGGGTCGATGTTACCAAAAGAAGATGGATGAATTCCGTTGTACTGCAGTTGTTTGGCTTTTATACGACGTTAACGTTGACGCAGTCCACGGGACCTCTTTCCTCGTTTCGAGTGAAAACAGGCTGAGCTTTAGTCCACCAGTTGATGGATACCATCAGAACTGGGTCTCATTTCTGTAAAAGTCTCACATTATCACTAAGTCAAGAAGACTATCCAGCTCTATCGTACTTCTTATATAGACTCAATTAAGCCAATAGAAAATAAAAAAACCTAGATATATAGATATAGAGAGGTTTGGCTAATTATCTTTTATACTGTTCCTGCTTCATTTGCTTGAGCGTGTGCCTATGTGAATGTGTGCGTGTTAGCGCCTATACGCAATACCGATCCAAAATCAGAGTTATAAAAAGGCTAATGTCAGGCTCTGATGATCAGGGCTTAAAGACCCAAGAGAAGCAGTGAACGAGACTTCATAAGTCAGTGAGCAAGTATGGTTGATATAATGGGATATGAGCTTGTAAGCATGTAAGTCAAGTTACGAAATCACTTTTTTAATATCTCAGTCTAGGTCCATTAAAGTTTAGGCCTCAAGCATTAACAAACTACACAAACGAATAAGAATCAAAACTAGGCTTAGGCATTCCTTTTTTGAAAGATTGAAGTACGACTCGACAGATACTTGATAAGAAACTCCGGAATCAAGGAATTAGAATGAAGTCGAGAAACTTTGCCCCTACGATAAGTCATACTAAGCATTGTTGTAGCAAAATGGGATAATATAAGGTAATCTATATATCTAGTACAGCTCTGAAGGATAGTGCAGTAGTTTTGTTGGAAAGAGGATTGAATAGTGCTATTCAAAATAAGGTAAACCATTCTCTGAAAATACTTGTTGAATTAATTAGCCTATTTGATTGACTGTCTAAAGAGGTAAGGAATAGTATTGAACTGGAAAGGATCCCTCATTTTGACGATATAATAGCGCCAAAAGAAAGATTTTTATCTTAGCCTGGTTTTTAGATATATCTGTAGATTATTAAAGTCATTTTCCTTTTCTCAATTTATCCATTACTTACCGATACCTTACGAGTATCCTTCAGCCTAGTCTTAATTCCTATTGCTGGATCTCTCACTAAAGACCTATACGTGTCATTGTCATTTAAATGAACTAGCATTTTTTCTACATAACTTGAAGTAATAAAGGCCGAATAAGGTGGAGCAGTGGTAGTCATAGATAAGTCAAGTTATGTAGAAAAAAATGCTAGTTCATTTAAATGACAATGACACGTATAGGCCTTTACTGAGAGATCCAACAATAGGATTTAAGACTAGGCTAAAGGATGCCCGTAAGGTATGCGTAAGTAATGCATAAATTGAGAAGTGGAAAATAAATTCACTACTCCAGATTAATGCAAGGGCTCCCACAGATAACGGTGTACCTAAGGCTCACAAAGAGGGTGCCCCTCTAAAATAAATTGTTAATAATAAAGGAAGCGTGATGCATAATAGCGCACGTTTTTTATGCATACAACTAAGGAGCTCTGCTAATTTTTGGCTATATTCAGTTAAAAATGTATATGTTTTTTGGAAATTGATTGAGCAACAGACACTTTCATAAGAGGATAGGCTAGTCAGTTTTAAGGACTGTGTCTATGTACACAAACATTCCTGTTCAAGGCGCTATTCAAGCTCTGATACAAATTCTGGAGAAGCATCTAGGGATAACTAAGGAAATAAGCATAAGTTTAGCTTTCATAATTAGACTTATTAACCTATTAAGGAGTACCACATATTTTACCTTCGACGGTAAATTATAAGACAAACAAAAGGACTAGCGATGTGATTTTGCCTGGCTCCTATCTTGGCGAACAATTTTGTAGCACCACTGAGAGGACACTTCCTGCAAGATCAATACTAATCCCCAAATTGCTGGTTAGATACATGAATGACTATTTTGACATCTAACCTTATGGTAAGTAAATTTTATATAGAAGTTGTTAGGGTTCGTAATATGGTGCTACGAATGGCGAGACTAACTGATGGTGCCGGCGAAACGTCTGGGAATGTACCACATCCACGGTCCTACTCTGGAAATGATGATGCATACAATGAACTCCGGACTAGTTGCGTTTCTCTAAGTCTTCCTAACAATATGACCGAGTTACAAAAAGAAGGTCAAGCAACTTCTATACAACGAAAGAAGACTGCGACAACACAAAAGACCACACAATCTTGGTCTTTACATCTTCGATTAAAGTTTATATAGTTTCCTACTTCCACTCAACCAGCGTGAAAGGAACATTAGGTTCACAATGGAAATGGAAGAGAATAATTGCTTACCTTTCTGGATGTTCTCATCATTAGAGAAGAGGCTAGGTTAGGACAAATGTTTATAGGAAGCATTTAAAATTAATCCCAAAAACCATGGCCAATATTGAGTAAATGGAATATTCAGGGGGCTATTAAAGAAAAATCAACATTTTTCATAAGTCTAATAACGCAGCATGAAAGAGTAGACAAAGTGGATTGTTCATGAGTTTACTGTATATCATGCGGCGGCTGTGAACAGAAATATATTGGCGAAACAGGGAGAAAAATAAACACACGAATCAAAGAACATCAAAGGCATTGCAGGAAAATGGATACTGAAAGATCAAAATTAGCGAGACTCATCAACAGACTGGACACGCTATCAATTTGAAGGCAACAGAAAGAAAAGCCCCATATGGTGACAACAGAAGAAAGCGGAAGATTAGGGAGGCCATTGACATCCTTGGAGAGAAAAATCAAATGAACAGGAGATTGGAGAAAGCTAGAGTTAGCGACAACTTTACCTACTACATAAACAAACTTGAGGAAAACATAAAAAAAGCAAAACCAGCAAAAAGGGGACGCCTGGATCAAGGATCAATCGCTAACCGCAGGAAAAGTGATCGTGATGCAGAAATTAGGGGCAGTGGTTTTCGGCAATAAAGCGAAGACGTTGTCAGTGAGTGATGACTATTTCGAGTATACCAGTACAACATTTGGGGCTTGCTAGTCAGGGAGCTAGGCAGATGGATAAGCAAACCGTCATAGAAATTAGGGTTTATGGAAAAAATGCACTAGAAATCCACTCGAGATGCTGCATGCGACCAGAGATAGGCATCCACAGTTTCCTCAGATAACATGGGTTTAATCAAGGAGACGACTCGTGAAGGGAAAGTCTGATATCTGCAAGCATGGGAATAAGAGCTTAAGCGCTCTGCTCAGTGCAGCGGCACTGTACGTTATTCTATGGCTTTGAGAAATAACGCCTGGAGTGAAGTGCACATAGGGACTGGATCCAAGTGAAATCAGGAAACCAGAAAGATAAGGAACGGGTCTACGAGACAATGAAGGGATCCAGATTGGAGACCCGATTCGGATAAGCCCATCGAATGAGAGGGGTCGGGGTAAATAGCAAGTGTGATGAGGCCATACTAGATTGCCACAAAAGGGCACACATTTTGGCGAGTGTGATGTGAACAAGTTGGAAGTTGTAATAGGGTTGCCGTTTTCGACAAAACGGTTGTCGAGGGATTAACTTAACTTGTCTCCTTGACGAGTTCGTAGCTTGGTGTGGAGAATGGCAAGGCTTACTGATGATGCCGACTACGATGCCGGCGAA